ACAGAGTTTCACTCTGGAGTCCAGCTGGACTGGAACTCAACAACAATCCTCCTGCCTCAGGCTTCTAAGTAATGGACTTCCAGATGCCAGCTACTGACTCCCAGCAATACTTTTATAATAGCTAAAGCTGAGAGATACAGAGCGAAAGCAGGATGTCCTTATTTGAAAGTATCTAGATGTTTGTATTCTTCCTCGGGGCTGCAGAGGAAACAGGTCCTTTATTTAATCCAGCGTGGCAGAGGAAAGGATAGCACAGAGGTTTGTGTCGGTGAGTTCCTCCTCCCCTGCTCTCTCGTTATGACACTGCAGGTGGGGTTCTCCCTGAGATCACCATGAATAATCCAGGTGAAGGCAAGTCTGGGGCAAGCAGAAGCTTGCTGGCCCAAGGAGAATTTCCTGTGAGTTTCTGTGAGAAGAAAGAAGTTAGCTTTTAAATATAGGCTCAGAGCTGCCCAGAGGTTTTTTGAGGATATAATCAGCAATGAACTTCTAATCAGACACCTCAGTTTATAAAGAAGCCAACCTGGAAGCCAGTAACAATTACAACCGAAACCAACTCCTGCGTTTAATTCAGTATCTAGAATGATTTAGCCCCGAAGTTGGAAAAAAGAATCTGAGTCTGTTATTAGTTCTGACTCAGACTCTTTGAGGTAATTTTCTTGTTAAAAGAAGTTTTTACAGTTATTTAGTGTGTGTGTATGTGTGTGTGTGCATGTGTGTTTGTGTATGTGTGTGTGTGCGTGCAATGGTGTACATCTGAAGGTCAGAGTACAGTTTATGAGGGTCGATTCTCTCCTTCCACCACGTGGGTTCCTGAGACGGGACGAAGAGCATTATTGGATCTGGTGGCATGTGCCTTTACCAAGGAGCCACCTCACCAGCCCTGTGAATTAATCTCCCAACATTCCTGTTCTTTACTTTCCCCATGTACAAAACAAGAGACTACCCAAGGGCAGTGGATAGAGACTGTATCACCGGCCCTCCTAAGACTAGCAGCTCTAACCCAGCCAATCTGCTGTGGGTCCCCTTTGGCCTAAACCAGCTCAGTTCAGATTCTGATCCTTCAAAAAGTTCCATTTATGTAACTATTCAGAGATGCTCAGCTCCTTAGCAAAAAGGAGTTCCGTAAGTTGTTTTTCTATAATAAAGGCAGATAGTTTTAATTGTTAAATCCGTTTCTATAGAATGATTAGAAATGACAAGTGCATGCTGTTGACTCTGCCCGACAGGGTAAGTAGGTAACTCGCGAGCAGCAGAGCGTTTGTTAACGGCTGACTTCCTTTTCAAACAACACTATGTCCTAATCGTCAAGTCCACAGACCACTTTCTTTCTCCTCTTGCATTGCAAGGTACTTACTGCGGCAGCTACCAAAGCCCTTTCTGTTCCTTGGGGGAATTTCATCTCCCCGATAGCATGTTTCCATCAAACCAGAGTTGATCTCTGCGTATCTCCCACCTCCATCTCCACCGCTGCATTCTCAGTGGCTCATATATATCCTCTTATCTTCTATGTCTTAACAGAAAAAGAAATTTCCCCTAACAGCCTTCTCCTTATGAAAGAAAGATGAAATTATTTCTTTCCTGTTACCCGGATAAACCTCTTTCAAAAGAACAAGCAATCTAGTGAGGCGTTGAACAGATGGAACTCCGAATACGAGCTACCTAATGTAGTAAATTACTGGCTGATCTGGATGAAAAATTTCAGATCTATAAAATAATAATTATGTTTGTAATAATTTACAAATATAGAATTATTATTAAGTATAAAATTTTTATTATTATACATACTGTGTTGGAGTTTCTACAGCTGTGAAGAGATACCATGATAATGGCAACTCTTATAAAGGAAAACAATAAATTGGAGGCTGGCATACAGTTCAAAGGTTTAGTACATCGTCATCATGGTGGGAAGTGTGGCAGCATGCAGGCAGACATGGTGCTGGAGAAGTAGCTGAGAGTTCTATATTGGATCTGAAGGTGCATTTCAGAATCACACACACACACACACACACACACACACACACACACCCAACAAAACAAAACAAAAAAAACAGGTGGAACCTGACAAAGGAACACTCCAGAAAAAGGTGACACCACTCAGGAAGGGCCAGCATCCGAGGGGAAATACCTGATAATCTTCCTATCTTTTTAAAATTCCTACATGGTCTATTAGCAAAGGTAGTTGTGGGGGATTGACTTTATGTAGATTTGACCATGGTGTGGGGGAATGAGGGAAGGTCATTTGTTACCCATAACCTCTGCTGAGGTATTTGGGGGTGAATCCCATTTTGAAGGGGAGAAGAGTCATGGCTTCACAAGGTTTCTACAGAATTGACAGCGATTTATCCAAAAGATAAGTGTTCCGAAGCTCTGCAAAAACGGGTTTCCCATAAGTTGTACACTTGTGGGTCTAAGAACTTGTCAGCTGCACATTCACTGTAGAGTCTTGTGGGCCTGTGACAAGCACTTTAAAAGAAAATTCAGAGTCGGTAACACGTTGGCCAAACCTTGGCGTGCATCTCAAGGTTAGGATTTTACAGGCTTCTGTTAAGGTCACTTTCATATTCTAATAACTAGTTCCCTTCTTCCACCATGTGGACTCCAGGGATTACACTCAGATCATCAGGCTTAGGAGCAAGTGTGTGTGCCAGAGAGGAAAAATTCCTCATTTAAAAAGAGCCACAAGCTCAAGCTTTTCCTATACTTGAGGAAAATAGTTTTTTTTTTTGCAACAAAATGAGTCCACAGCTTATTTCTTAGTTGATATAGTGACCTGTGGTACCTCTCTGATGATAGACTACCTTGTGGTTTTCCAACCACCTGTTTTTATTTTTTTCTAGTTCTCACTACAATTTTATTTTTAATTATATCTCACTGTAATTTTGATTGTTCACACCCTAGAACTTGAATTCACAACAGCAAAACCTCACATCTGAGAAAGTCAGGAATAAAATCCTAGGTGTCTTCAAAGTAGGCAAGGCTCTCTAGCACACTGGGTGTTTGTTTTTCCCTTCTATATGGTAGCTCACCTGTTACCTCCTGACAAGTGTTAGGATAATAGGTTAGCCTTGGTTCACATATGACTTCTAATGTTCTTGGAAATTACCTTGGTCCTGATCCAAGTATCCAATAAAGCTCTCTTTTATTACATGGTCTAGATCTTCCTTCCCGAAACATCTTGCAAACAGAAACTACACCTTTTTGTCTTTGAAGCCCAGTGTCTTTCATGGGGTAGACAATGAGTGTTTGATGTTCTAGGCAGAGGCAGGGACCTGTGTTAGGGATTCTGAGTGAAACCTGCTTCTATTGTAACAAAGGTGACTGAGCGAGCCCCTTAGATTGAGAGGCCCTCTGAGCTGATGAAACCAGAGTCGCCCATTTCTTTACCTTTCTTCACAACAGTTTGCCAGAACCAAGTAGCCTTCTTCCTGACACCTCACGTTCTCCGAACATGTGCTTTGCGGAATGGGATCCCGGTAATGGACTTGCAATGTTGGGGTAGGAGGAAAAGAATGACCATGTCCAATTCCCATTTGATATTTTATCCCAGGGCTTCTTAAACTTTACCCACTTGTAACCCCTTGTCTGTCCGTGTGTGTATGTATGCATGCCAGTGCACTAGACACATGTGCATACAGATGTGCATGACAGTGAGCATGTACATTGAGATCTGTGAACAACCTTGGGTGTCTTTCCTCCAGCATCATCCATCTGTTTTAGGCAATTTTGGAGTTTACCAAGCACTATAGACTAGCTGTCCAGCAAGTCCCAAAGGATCTTCATTGCCTGTTTCTGCTGGGATTAGTAGTATGTGCCAATATATATTCAATTGTAGAACTAGCAATTGAACTCATGCCCTGATTTTGGCAAAGCAAACACTTCAACTAAATCATCTCAGCCTTGTGAGGTCTTTCACCCAGTGATTTTTAGACAGCACCAAGTATATAAAGTAGGTATACAAATCAAGGGTTTTCTGAAAATAAATCACAAATAAATTTATTTCAAATAATTGTTTGGTTTATATCTCATTCTACAGTCTACTAAAGATGAAAGCAAATTTGGACAACAATAACATGGATGTAATTGTTTATTTTTACATGAAGAATTAAATCTTGACTGGATACTTGATACTCTACGGAACAGCACTTTCAAAATTTTTCACAGTTGGTGGATATTTTGATTTTAGAATTAGCAACACAGAGAATGCTGTTTTACATAAATGCATAGGACAAACTGGCAGACATATTTTCAGGGCTACTTCAGAAATTTATGGAAATTAGATCTTAATTTCAACCCAAAATTTATTTAATTATTTTTATTAAGGTTTTTAACAAGTCTGAAAGAAATTTTAAAGACTCATATATACATTTTAGTCCAAAAGTTCTGATACCAAGGAATGATAGAAAATGGCCATGTTTTCTGTCATTAAAATTTTCTATTAAAATGTATTATATCCAATAAAAAATATAAAACTTATTATATGCAAAAATAAAATTTATAACTATCAGAGTCTTGCATCTGAGACAAGACAGCCTTGCTCTGGCATGGCATGACAGCTGGCACGGTACACAGTGCTCATGCAGTGCGTGCAGAACCAGGACTGCACTGACATCACAGGAAACAGCAGCGGAGAGTGCCACCAGAGACACCTTAGATTCATTACACGTTTGAATTAGTTCCCTCAACTTCAGACACCCTTTGCTACTGTCAGATCCTTAGTGATCCCACAACCAGTCACGCTGTAGGTCAAGGAGCTGAGCTTTATGCCAACCTCTCTGTGAGGTAAGCGGATTAGATACAACACATTCCATCAACCAAGAAGCCTAAAGCTTAAAGGATCAAGAGAATTCTGTAAGATGTTTCTGATAGTGACAGGAAAAAATATTAGCAGTCAAAGGTCCTGGCTCATATCCAGTTATGAATACTAGAGTGGCCACTGTCATAGCTTTTAGGGCACGGCTCTCCTTATGTCCATGTGTGACAATAGATGTAAGGGAACTTTCTCGTATATTATCTATTTTCAGCACAGAAATGAACTATCAGGATACCAGCTCTGCCGCTCAGCAAGCGATCTCCCTAGCAAATAATATGCTGGCCTGACCACACTCATCCTACATCCCAGTAACTTCTCAGTATAGTTTCTCTAAAATTTTACATGGGTTTATTAGGGGGAAAGCATTTATGTACAAACCCCACAGCAACAATTTGATCCCACAAGCAGGCAACCTCTATGGTTAAACATGTTCTGATTTAGAATGCCCATTTTAACACTACAAACTTCTCAGACCGATGATTTCCCTCCTCCCACTTGGCCTATAGACAAGTTTATGTATCGTTCTCAGTTCCCCTTAACTCTGCCCAGTACATAGTGCAGAGCCAATCAACATTAAGCAACTAAGCGAGTGATTTCAGTCATCCTCAGACACCTCTTTCCCACAGATCCACCAGGTCAGCCTCTTCCGCACCTTCAATCCTAGTTTTACCATTGCCTGTGATCCTGGAACCCACATCTAAGACTACTGTAATCTACTGCGGAAAAGCTGAAAGATCCGACAGCAGACTAAGAAGCATTAGATTAGAACACCAAGGACGGTTAATCTGCACCTAAGACATAAAAAAGCCACAGACAACCTGGTGACATGCCTACTGAGAGAAAACCCAAACCGCTCTGGTGTCCTGGCTGTCAGCGAGCTATGAGATTGGTATGAGCTTTCTGCCCTAGGAGAGTGTGACAATTCTAGTTGACACATTCCCTCCTGCTTTGCAACGGGGTGGGGGATGGGGGGATGAGATTTTCATGAGTCGGTTTAGGGTCTATTTGTGCTTGATGTTTCTAGAAGTTGGTGTCAGAAATGAGACACTGTCCTCAGCCGTGGTGGGAAATTCAAATTTCATGCAAGTCAACACAAGCTTAATTTCTTTTTTTGTAAGAAAAATTTCCCCAAGGAACAAGAAATATCTCTGATTTGATTGCTCATGAAGGAATCAAGAAGAAGAGTTGGGGGCCTGTAGCCTGCCCTGTCCATCTAAGGAGCACCGCCAGGAAGGTGAGGAGATCTCTGAGAAGCTGGTCACTTCCGGCATGGATTGAACCTTTCTGTGCCTATGGCTGAGGGTGGGGGTGGGGGATGGGTTAATAACTTTCCCCAGCCTTATCTTTGCCATCAAAAGCAGCCTGTTCTTTCCTCCTACCTCAACAGAGAAACCGTTTCCAGCTTGTCCTGAGTCCAGACCTGCTTTCTAAGCAACGCCTGCCTGGTAAGGAAGTTTAGGTCACGCTGGAATCCTTTGTTTGCTTTGTAAGCCATCAACCTATTTGTCTAAACAGACCTCAGTGGAATATTAACCTCTGTTAAGACTTTAGTGTGAGTTCCTGGGAATTAAAACCATTTGCCTAAGTCTATTTTATTTTTCCAATGGACGTTCGACCTGCTTTTGAACAGTGCAGTAATTTAAGTCTAATCTAATCATGCCTGCTCTAGTCACAGAATATTCTCTTGTAGGCGGCTTTGAATTATCTTTCCTTTTCAGGCTTAATCAGTCCTGCCAAATAGACAGCAGAGCTAACAAGTGTGCATTGAGATTGGTAATGCATTCTCATAACCATGTGTGACAGTTCATTACTATCACCTCTTAAAAATAATTTCATTATTTGTAAATGTATTTATTTTATGTGTATGAGTGTTTTTCTTGCATGTATGTATGTATGTATGTATGTATGTATGTGCACCATGTGTGTGCCTGATGCTTCATGGAGGAGATCATAAGAAGATGTCAGATCCCCAGAGCTGGAGTTAGAGATGGTTATGGGATACCATGTGGATGCTGGGAATGGAACTCAGGGCCTCTATAAGAGTAATAAATGAGGCCGGGCGGTGGTGGCACATGCCTTTAATCCCAGCACTCGGGATGCAGAGGCAGGCGGATCTCTGTGAGTTCGAGGCCAGCCTGGTCTACAAGAGCTAGTTCCAGAACAGGAACCAAAAGCTACGGAAAAACCTTGTCTCGAAAATCCAAAAAAAAAAAAAAAAAAAAAAAGAGTAATAAATGCTCTTAATCCCTGAGACATCTCTCTAGCCCCAGTATTTACTTCTTATCCCCAAACACAATGCTGAGTACCTACTAGCAGCCAATACATTCCAGGTACCATGGTAGACTCTGGAAATACAGAAATAAAAGGTATTGTCCCCTTCTTTGAGATATGCGTGCAGCATAATTGGAGGAAAGGAGAGTTCTGTGACAAAGGGGTGAGAGCCACAGCCTGGAGTCAGATCTGAACTTTAATTCTGAGCCTAAGCATATACAAATCATTCCTAAGCTCCATTTTTCACGCATATAAAGTGGGACTAATAGTCCTCTTTTACAAGGTTGACATGAGAATTAACATTCTAAGTATCGTACCTGGAATATGTTAAGAAAGAGCATGTTATCATCTGGGGTAAGCCTAGGGAACTGCTGGCACAATATCACATCTTGTGCCTGAAAATGGAGGGTGGACATATAAGAACATAGTGTATATTTATTTAGGTATCATTTGGTTCTAGCTTAGTTTTTTGTTGTTGTTTGTTTGTTTGTTTAACTTTCAATTTTTATGTGCATTGGTGCTTGACCTGCATGTCTTTGCATGGGAAGTCAGATTCACTGGAAATTGAGTTATAGACCGTTGTGAGCTACCATGTGGGTTCTGGAATTGAACCCAGGTCCTCTGGAAGAGCAAGCAATGCTCTTAACTGCTGAGTCATCTCTCCAGCCCATGACTTAGTTCTTAAAGGCTATGATTTAATTTTAGGCACCACGAGAAACACTTGTGACAAGGAATCTAATCAGCCCATCTTCCCAAGGGATGAGGTCATGACATGACTTTGAATCTATCACAATTAATTGCCGGCAAGAGATAAACATTTAGAAGTCCACAAGATGACTTGATGTGTTAAGGCTTCTGCCACCAACCTTGGTGATAGGATATGAAAGCAGTTCCCAGTGCTCCACATGTTGGAAGAAGAGAAGTGATGTCTACAAGTTGTCTTCCGACTGTCACAAAGGAACAGCGGCACTTAAGCCACGCCCACTGAGAATAATTAAGTAAATAAAATTTATTTTTTAAGTTTTGGAAAAGAGAGAAACACCTATAGTTATATTGAATAGGAATTGGCAGCGTCGTACACGTTTACAGGCACAGTGGGCTCTAGAAGAGGAAGCCTACGTAGAGTAAGTACATTTCAGACCAGCTGTCTAACTTGGCTCACTTCGGGGGTGCAGAATTAAGAAACTTCGCTGCCATCTATTAGGTGAAGATATTGCTGCCTCTCTGTTTCTGCTTCCCAGAATGTCTGAAATGAAAAGTCTGTAACAAAAGTATGAATTGAGGGCCAAGAGAGACGGCTCAGCAGTTACGAGTACTTGCTGCTCTTGTAGAAGAGCAAGATTCAGCTCCCAGAACCCATATGGTGGCTCACAACCCACCATACCTCCAATACCAGGAGGATCCAACACCCTCTTCCGAGTTCCAAAGGCATTGCATGTATGTGGTGTAGTTATATACATGAAGGCATAATACTAATTCACATAAAGTAAAAATGTTTAAAATCTTAAAAAGAAATGTGGGTTGAGATCTTTAAATGAACCCCCCAACTCTGCATGTATGTGATTTTTACATTATTATTTAATTACTTCATCACAAAAAAATCATGCTTGGGGAAGCTTACTGGTCATTTTGACATTAATTTCTGACCACCATTTCCTTCCTTAATTTCTCCCTGTACAGATAGATTAGTTAATCTAGAGATCCACCGACTTTGTGGAATCTCCAGTTCACTGAAAAAGACCTGAGTATTCTGACCTTTGAGTCTACGATTATGTCATAGCTCTGGCATGTCCTTCCTCCTTCTCTTCCTCTACTTTTCTAAATGGAGCCTATTCTTAAAGAGAAAGATGACTTTCTCTTTCCTTACTCAGCAAACACCATCATTAAATAACTGTTGAGAACCTACAGCTATTCAGAGTCTGCTGGGACACAGCCCTAGATCACTGCCTTTGCTTGTAAGGAGCACACGGGCTAACCCGCGATTCCGTTCTTAACTGACCTAACAAGCATATTTTTCAATGTAAACCATTGTCCAGGTATATGTGTGTGGATGGTTTAAAATGTGCACATATAAAAGTTTCATACTGTCATATTACATATGATACATGCTGTCTTCTAGAATCTTCTTTTTTTGTTTTAAATGATGCTTCGTGTGACTCACTGCTATCATTTCATAGCCAAATAGTGCATCTTAGAGTTGGGAAAAAATTAGTCTTGCTGAGATACAGGTATTGTGAAAACAAGTAATGACACTATGCTAAAAGAAGTATGCCCCGTTTTTTCTATTGCTCATCATTGCTCATCTATAGGACTCATGGTACCTAGTCAGTGAACGGCTTTCTGGTGGTGGGAACCAAGATCTGTATCTCTTAATATTCTTTCTCTACTCTTCACTTCTGGTAGTATCTTTTATAGAAAAATGTAATTACTAGATTATTGTTGATGATAATCATACAGTTTTCATTGAATATGTTAGTTCAGATTTCTGAGAAGTTGTTCTTAGTTGATCTCTTAGTGTGTAAGAGATTTATTGGAATCAAAGCCAGTGAGAGAGATAAGGAGGGGTGGGACACAGGAGAAGGTAAATAGAGCAAGCAGACTATGATCTCAGGTTTACCAACCTAGAAAGGGCAGAGGAAGAGAAGAAGTCAGAAAGATCTTTGAACTAAAAAACAGTTCTTGGTCAAATTGATAGGCTGCTCTCAAGCCAAACTCACCTATGGGGAGAGTCCGTCCTCTTACATGGAATGAGTGGGCCTTAATGGTCCCTGCATGGTTCATCAGACCGTGGCTGGGGGCTGCCTCCAGGAAGCGTGGTCTCCTTGTGCATATGCTAGAAGATCCAAGAACAGCAGCTGAGTTAAGATCCCTACACAAGTCTAAGTGGTTCAGGTTCAAGTCCACAACAGCGTACTAGTGCTATTCTCACAGGCTGGGTTTTCTTTTAAAGTTAAAGAAAAAAGGATACATACATACAATGTTCCTGCTTTACCTTGTTCTGGGTTTCCCCCATTAACCTTCTTAGGCCATGTGGACAGGTCTCGCTGGCTACCATTCTTTAGGCTCTAACTGTTCTACCTCATGAGGAGATTTAGGGTACTATTATTCCAGTTGATGTCTCTTAGGAGATAGGATGAGTGTTCCAGAAAATAGGCATAGAAAAGTTGCTGACACTAGTGAGTCTCCATGGAAAGTGCTGTTGCTTGAGCCTTGAACTCCCCTCAAAGGCCTGTGTGTTAAAGATCTAGTCTCCAGAGCGGTAGCAATTGTGAGATGTTGAAAAAAGTGAGGCCTAATGAGAAGCATTTAGGCCACTGAGGCCTGCGTCCTTGGACAGGCTAGAGAAGCCAAACCCTTGCATTTCCTGTTTTGCTTCCTGCTAACAAGATGAGTAGTTTTGCTCTTGGGTGCATTCTAGCCCATGCTGTACTGCTTCACCAGAGACCCAAGAGCAGCAGGGGCCAATCAGCTACAGAACCAAGACAACTTTACACACTGATATTGCAGGCATCTGTTATAGTTATAAGAAGTTGACTAATAAAAGAGTTCAAATCTTGACATCCCTCTACCCAGAGACTTTGAATAAGTCATTCCTTGTTAGTGACTCAATTTCTTCTTCCCCTCTGCCACTTGCAAATTCACTGAAGCCTGCAAGGCAAATTTTGGCACTTAGGAGAAGCCTCAACTAATTTTATTTATTAGTTTTTTTTTTTTGAGAGAGGGTCTCTTTGTGTAGTCCCATCTGTCTTGGTACTAGCTCTGTATGCCAGGCTGCCCTCAAACTCAGAGATCTGCCTGCCTCTACCACCACCACCTGGCTACCTCAACTTATTCTTGAATTCAAATGGTATAATCAACAAAATAAAAACTTCCTTTTCTTAACAGACTGTGCAATTAATGATAGAGTTGGGATCAAATTTATTTCTTGGGTTCTTTTTGTCTAACGTCTAAAAGTAGAGCTGCCCACTGGGTTATTCCTGGAACGTTCTGTGATAGGCATTCAGGTAGAGAAGCGAACATCCCGCCTACCAGTAACAAGCTCTCCTAAGGAAACCATCTTAAGCGTGCCTAGCTAGCCATAATTGGAGAGATCCTTGTCTAAGGCTGCATTTTAGCTTGAGGGGCCACTTTGCCTTTTTGGCTGGATAGTTCACAGCCTTATATGTTTCAAGCCTAGTTCTCTTCGCTATTCACGAGGAACTGTTAGGACTGTCAGGTTGATGGCTACAAAATTCTCTTAGTTCAACGTCTTGCTTAGCAGCCACTCAAAGTACTACTCAAGTGTAGTATCAGGAACTCTCACAGCAGGTGTGTGTGAAAGATTTGCCAAATGTGTCTGTTTTGTCAGTGTGGAGGAAAATGCCAGTGTCTGCCAGCTTTCTGTTGCTGTAACAAAACACCCAGGAAATACTCGCTTTAAAACAGGATGCTTTATTTTGGCTCATGATTTCAGTGTTTTCAGCACATGACTGACCCAGAAGCTCTGGGCCTACAGTGAGGTAGCTCATCACGGCAGAAGCATAGGACAGCGGAAATTACTCATCTCCACTGGCCAGGAAGTAAAAAGACTTGGAGCCCGGAGGCAGGGGTAAAATGTACCCTTCAGGTTCATGCCTTCAATGCCTGCTTCTCTCTTCCCATACTTCCTTGGGTTTCTACCACCTCTCAATTTCCATTAAGAATCCATAAATGGATCAAACCATTAATAACATCTGAACCCTTATGATCCAGTTACCTCCCACAGGTCCCATCTTTGAACACTCTGAATGCTGCTGTGTTGGGGACCAAATCTTCAATACACGAACTGTAGGAGTTACTTGGGGGGGTCTTAATTAAAACAAATAAATTATTTAATTACAAATAAAGAACACCTCAACCACTCAGACAATGTGCCTCAACCTGACGAGATTGTCCCTACCTCTCCAGGTCCTTAAATGCAGTAGTCTCTGGCTACAATGCATTCAGCTTCAGCAAGGTTGGCTACGGCCAGACTTTGCCTCAGGTCATTTTGAAGCTCATCCACCTGAAAGAGAACCTAAACTTCAAGTTGATTTTGATGGAGAATGACTTACACTCTCTGGTTTCCTCTGTTCAAGAGACAGGCTTGAAAGAATGCATGCTACATCCTTTGTAGCATGCTGCTCTTATAATGGAGCGGCTTGGTGGACAATTGACTTCAGAAGAGTAGCTGCTCTTTGGGACGGAGGTACAACTCCCACAGAGTGGAAAGGTGATCTAAAATACCTCCTCTGCTTGAAGTTAGATAAGACCCTGTTTCATAGTAACTCAGGAAATCTATAAGGATCTGTTTTAGTCCAATCCAACTGAATCTCACCTAAGGTTTATAGAAAACACAATGACCTAACCATTGGTATGTTGAAGGGCTCTATTCTCAGTGTTCTCTCTCCTAAAGTTAATTTTCCAGTTAGTAGCCATTAACTAAATGTCCCGAGACTTCCACGAGACATTTTCCATACTACATAGATGGATTCTCCAATACTTGGCTCCAAAGACTTAACTTGTGTGTACTCTGTGATCACACCATTCTGTGGAGAATTTGTCCTTGGTCTGGTTTCATGATTTAGGGACGCTCCCTGACACATCTTTAGTCTCTACTCCTACCTGCTTGCTCATTCTTTGGCCTTTATTATCCACGTGGCAGGTAGTATGGCTTAAGTTTTTCTAGACAGGGCAGATGGTTTTCTTATTCTTCAGTGAAAAAGGGTATTTTGCTTAGTGGCCAGGTTCTGGACCAAGTGTTTCTAGATACTTGGTATCTTATTTAAGAATTCAGTAAGAGTACATGTGATGGCAAAGTAGCAGGGAGCCTTTATTCAGAGTGGAATACTAGTACAGACTAGACAGCCTCACCACAAGCCACATGCGTGAAGGCACCATGACTGCTGTTCGGTGTTTCCTTCACTGGGATTCAAGAGTCTGGGAACTTGGTTGCAACAGCTGAGGCATAGTGTGAGAAACTCACTAATTTAATTGGCAGATTGTTATGTAATCTTTTCTTCCTGTGCATGTCTCTTTCCATAATGCATCTAATTTTAATCATATGAATGCCCAATTATGCATAAGGATAATAAGGTAAATGGGAATTTTTCCCTTAAAGTTTATTATGAGGCCATAGTTTGCCTTGTGCCTAATTTCAAAAGAGTTCATGGGGTAGAGAGATGGCTCAGTGGTTAAGAGCACTAACTGTTCTTCCAGAGGACTTGAGTTTCATTCTAACACCCACATGGTAGCTCACAACCATCTGTAACTAGAGACCTAATGTCCTATTCTGGCCTCTGTGGACGCTGTACGCATGTAGTGCACAGACATACATGCAGGCAAAACACCTATACATATAAAGTAAAAAAAATTAATCTTAAAAAAAAGTTAAACAACAACAACAACAAAAAAAAAAAAAAACCACAGTTCAGGCCAATTGGCCTTCCTTCTCCCTTACCTTGACATAAACGCAGTATGATTGAATAGAATCTATGTTTGATGGTCATTAAGGGGAAGAGAAACTTTTCCATTGCTTACAGTAAGATGTGCATGCAGCTGACACAGGTGGGGGTTCTAGGTTGCTAACAGTAACTAGATACATTGTTTGGAGTGAGGTGTTTGCTCATAGTACACGTAGATAAGGGTCTCGGACTTCTAAGTGCATTAAGAGAGGAGGAATGCATTACATCGTCCAAACCAAGTGGGGCCCAAGTCTTCTAAACAATTCCCTATGCTTGTGTCCTTCATATTGAAGCTTCTGATAAGAGTCTTTTATTTTCAGCTTATCATGTTTGGACAGCAAATGCTTCACCCACTCAGTCCTCTCCCTAATCCAAATTCAATTCTTGTTTTTAAATTTCTTTATTATTTTTATTGAGCTATATATTTTTCTCTGTTCCCCTCCCCCTTCTGTCTTCTTCCATGATCCCCATGCTCTCCCAATTTTCTCAGGATTTCTTGTGTTTTTCTACTTCCCATGTAGATTAGACATACATCCACGTATGTGTCTTAGGCTCCTCTTTGTTATCTAGGTTCTCTGGGATTGTGAATGGTAGGCTTTTTTTTTTTGCTTTATGTCTAAAAGCCACTTATTAGTAAGTACAGATGATATTTGTCTTTCTGGGTCTTAGTCACCTTACTATGATGTTTTCTAGGTCTATCCATTTGCCTACAAATTTCAAGATGTCTTTTTTCCCCTATGTAGTACTCCATTGTGTAAATGTACCACATTTTCCTTACCTATTCTTCAGTCGAGAGGCATTTAGGCTGTTTCTAGGTTCTGGCTATGACAAATAATTCTTCTATGAAGATAGTTGAGCACATGTCTTTGTGGTATGATTGAGTATCTTTTGGATATATACCTAACAGTGGTATTGCTGGGTCTTGAGGTAGGTTGTTTCCTAATTTTCTGAGAAATTGCCATACTGATTTTCTGGAACACTAAGTCATAGATGAAGAACAGATTTGGCAACTAGGTTTTGTGTGTGTGTGTATGTATGTGTGCTGATTATGTCCACCTAAAATACACAGGAAACATACTTCAAAGGTCAAAGAAGCTAATAATGTTGAGAATCACCAAATGGAAAGAAGTGTTTCTGTAAGGATGAGTTGAGCAATCGCATAGCCAAGGCCACAGAAGCTCACCCACTAGGTTGGTGAAGTAGCCACAGTGTTAGAAAACAATTCTGATATTTCAGTAAGATAGTAACAAAAGTGATACTATCTCTTTAAGATGAGAAAAGGGAGAAGTTGAGCCATGGATGGCAGTGGGAAACACCTAAATAGCTTCCTTCAGCACCTTACTAGTCCATGATATTTCTTTCTTATTCAGCCTGCAACGTCAACATTCCAGAGGACTATGAGAAGTCTTGCTGTCGTTAATGCTGCTGCCTGACACATTCCTCACATGGGGCGGTATACATTCGTCTGTGTTAATCGGCTTATTTCCCATAGACGGTTTGCATCCCAATAAAGATGGATTTAAGGAACTCGAGGCACTGAAAAGTTAAGAGACTAATTTTTGTAAAGGATCACATTCTCTCCAGTGTCCGGGCTGGTTGACGTCCAGATATGTCCAGGGAAAAGAGAGAGTGGCTGGAAGAAACTGATCAGCAACACGAGGTGATCCTTCATTCTCTGACCAGACACCTCTTGCCACTGACTCAGCCAAACACTGCCACATGCATCTTCTCGGTGGAATTTGGCACCTACTGCTTTCCCATCCATCAGGTGACAATGACACATGCAGCCCTTTGCAAGGGAGCATCCAGAGGAAGGTGGCAAAGTCCAGTCTCCCAGGACTGTTACATCAGCCCTGACAGAGGTCTAAGTAAGAGTGCTCAGGACAGCATTAATAGACTCAGTTATTAATAACAGAAATAAGAAAAGAGAAAAAGAAAACATGAATCTGGAAAGGACATGGGGTAGGGGCTCTAGGAGGAGTTGGTGGTAGTGGATAAATATTATCAGCATGCATTGGATAAATGTATACATTTTCAAAGACAAAAATAATACTTAAAATAATGGTGGCATCCAGTCATTGCAGAGCCTCCCTGGTCCTGGGAGTTGAGTCAGGCCCTGGCTGCCTTCCCTGTCAAGAGGAAATGGGCAGCAAACATGACATTGTGGCTTCAGGGAGGAAGATTTCATTTTCTGGCTGGCATTTCACCGGCGGAGGCTGGGTAAGCAGGTACAACGAGCTCCACCCTTTCCTGGCACACAATCAGAGGCTGCCCACCAAGTCTTGCCCTGTGGGCATTTTACAAAGGGAGGGAGGATTCTGGTTTTTCCTGGGAGAAGGTGTATCGGTGCCATTGCATTTCTCCCTGGGAGACCTGAAGGCAAATGTCAAAGTTTCCAGAGAGATGCCAGTTCACCTCCCCTGACAAATGGAAGTACTACTGATTAAAGGCAAATTGCCTAAGAGGAAATTGTTCTTAGGTGACATCAGGTCTCCTTGCTTCACCAGGTGTGTGTCTATGGGAAGCAAGCAATGACGCTCACATGCCCATTTTACAGAACAGGATCATCGAGTCAGCCCTTCCCAGAGGGGCTGACTAGTCACATGACCCTGATCTCAGGGTAGCTCGTGCTGCACAAAGGATCCATGACCCATGATCACTCTGGTTGCTTCCTGCATAGTGGACATGCCAGCCACAGGTCACTCTTGTCACTAGACGATGGAATGTCTCATCTCTCTGTACTAAGTCACTTTTAAAACTAAATATGTGAAGGAAAAAAATCATATTCTCCCCTGTTTTGTAGTCTAATAAAACTGGTACGGATATAAAGGACTCTTGTGACCTGGACCAAGGTCTGAGAAAAAGCTGTTTTTCTCCAGAGAGAATTTGAATAAATCGTTCCTTTTACCAGGTCAGATATAGTCCTGATGAGGTCTCGGGGGAGGGGGAAGGGGAGAAGGCTAATAAAACCTGAGGGCTCCTCAGAGCCAATGGCCAGTGGGGTTTTTCAGAGCAAGACTAGGGGCAGTAGAAGTCAGTCCTCTATTCAGCCCCCTTTGGTACCTTTACCAAAGCAACGGAAAAATAGGTTGAAGACAGTAATAAAGCAGTAGGGGGAAAAAACCCGAAAGCCACATTCACCTGTGGAGCCTGGTGTGTAGTAGGCAGTAGGCGTGAGGGAGTAGAAAACCTGGAGCCTGGACCAGGACTTCTGGCAATTAGTGTTCCTCAGACTGCCCTGGGGGCTTGTGAATCCATGGTAGACTCAAACATGGTAGAGCCTGTGTTCCACATCGTGTAGCTCTGTGGAAGGTCTAGGCACAAACATTCATAACCAGCTCCTGGGGTGTTATTAGGGGACACACTGAGAGAGCTAGTGGTAGTGGGAACTAGCCAGAGGGATTTCCTGGCGTCTGTCTAGCAACTCATTGGTTCCTCTTTGGTTTCACTGTAGAGCAGGAGGGAGAGAGGGAGAGGAGGACGGGGGGGGGGGGGGGGGGGGGGGGGGGNGGGGGACAAGGACTTGGGGGGGATAGGAGATAACAACATTGCTATTAAGAAAGCTGGATGGTGGTGACTCATGCCTTTAATCTTAGTACTCAGGCAGAGACAGGATGATCTCTGAGTTCGAGGCCAGCCTGGTCTACAGAGCCAGTTCCAGGATAGGTTCCAAAGCTACAGAGAAACCCTATCTCAAAAATCCAAAAAAAAAAAAAAAGCAGATTTTGAGAGCCACATACGTAAGTCAGTCTTGGCCTCATTTTATCTACTGTATGATTCTGACCTAAATGTGGTGTACTCATTATTTAGTTGCTGATGCCTACATGACTGTTAGAAGCTACAACCCCCAATTTATAGTGAGAAAATTCAGAGAGAGTGGGACAGTACCAAACACTATAAGATTACTGTGTGGGTTACTTGCTATCATCCATGCTAAATGTTAACCTGGACACCTAAGAATGCTATTTACTTTCTATGTGACCAAGGATCTGAAGTCTGCTCTCTTATACTAAAATTTTCAAGGGATTGCTTAAAATGATGAACTATCTTTTCCCTTCTAAAGTTTATAGGGGAGAGAAATCTACTAGCCACGCCCCCATTTGTCCTTTCCCTGCCCCCACCCCATAGATGGGCTCCCTTCTTGCAGACTTTCTGTCTCCAAAGAGCTGTGCAGCTCTAAGGGGCCCAGAGCATCGTGGGCGGGGTAGGGAGAATATGTTGTGAAGAAGGATTCATGAAAGCAGTGGTACGCTTGCTTGCGCTTGGTTAAGCTGCGGGTTGGGTATGAGACCTGACATCTCAAGAGAAAGCAGGCTGTTTGCAAACTCACCAGACCAAAAGAAAAGAGAGCTGGGAGAAAGCCCAGCCCCAGAGCTGCACCAGCACATTCCTGCGTGATTGACACTTGCTGGTGGCCTTTGTTTTTCCACCAGAGTTGGAAAGCAGGCAGTAGAAACTTGGCTAGTACTTTTTCTGACCTTGATGTTTTTTAAGCTTTCTTTTCATAGATCAGGACAGGCGGCTTATGGTAAATTTCCTTTAACCTAATTGATACTTAATCATCACCGATGAGTTGAGTAAAAAGTTGATGATTCAGCCTTTAGACCTTTCTGGTTGAAAGTAAAATATTCTGATACAGGAATCATTATTCAGTTCTGGTTCATCTATTCTCCTTGCAGTGCTTTTACTTTGGCTGCTGAACTTCCTTGTTGGTCCCCCACACTGTGCCTTTGCTTTGGATCAGTAAGCACCTGCCAAGTCCTTGGTATGTTATAGCCCCTAGATCCGTGTTTCTTTCACCCAACCCCACCCCTCAGCCCGATGGATTAGGTTGAAATTGGTCTCAGAGCTCCTGCTTTCTCCCACTGTTCCCTGGGGGTTTGTTTAGCTGTTTCCCTTCTCCTCAGTAAGAAGTGACAAGCTTCAGCTTCTCCTCTGATTTCCCAGTGCCAAGCATAGTGCCTTCTTGCTGATAACGCATCACTAAATCTGATGGCTATTTACTGCTTACCCAGCCTGCTGGGGCGATTCTGTTGGTGTCTGTGGGACTGTGCGTGTGGGAGAAATGTGTCCTGTGCTGACAGAGAACTAAGAAAAAGGCAGACAACACTGGGCCAGTCGGCTTAGTTATGGTAAACACTGGGATGAAAATATGCTTGTCACACTCCGGCTTAAACTAGATCTTTCTTTCTGGCTGTGTCTTGCCTTCTCCAGATTCCTTGAATGGTTCTGACGTCCCCTTCCAGAGATCCTGAAGTGTGGCTTTGTCCTCTGATGTACAGGGTGGCACACGCCTGCAAGAGCAGGATATCATTTTCTGTATCTTGAAAAATTCAAAGTTGTTTTTTGACTTTGAAGGTAAGCTTAAATCTTCGATCTTGACCAAATGAATGTGGCTGCGTCCTTAAAGGACGTCCAGATGTGAAAAATCTGGGTGGCATCCACCCTGTTTTAGGAGTTTGGCTCTTTACCAGGCACACGTGGTGAAAAATGAGGAAGTCAGGGTTCAATGATTCCAGGCTGATCTTCAATTGGAAGAAGTGCAAGAGGCCATCTTGCCAGACTCTGGCTTGGCCCCTCAGAAAGAAAATAAACTATAAAGTGATTTTATTAACATCACTATCTCTATGGCCATTATTTATTTTTAAAGGCCAAGGCTTTAATTTAATTGATCTTAATTTAATTTTTAGAATTTAATTAATTTTCACATAAAAGTTTAAAACTTAATTTAATAAGTTAATTGATAATTACTAAATATAAGTCAAAAGATGCATATTTTCTACACAGATGTCGGCAATAATAACAAAACATATAGGAACTACTAGTCGTTAGTGCTAGGCAATAGTGATCCCTGCCTGGAACACCAGGACTGAGGAGGCAGAGGAAGAAGGATTATGGATTCCAGATAAGCTGAGACTACATAGAAATACCCTGTCATTAAGAATTTTCCTAACTAAGGCAGACTCATAGGATATCTCAAGGAACAAGGGAAAATTATTACCTAGTTCGATTTGCTAGGAGGCAAGTTTAACAACATTGTCTTCAGTATCTTGTTATACATTAAACATTTCTCAGTGCTTTATCAAGGGATCATGACTGTAGGGTCATGGGTGGTACAGATAAGCTGGGGTAAAGTTGTAGGACTCATCCAGGTTCCTTGATATAAGGTTGTGCCATGAAAACTCCACTTCTACTGATACCAATAATAATATCAATGTCAAAAGTAGCATTATAGGAAGCCAATATATTAAGCCCCTATCACGGAGACACCGTCTAAGAACCTGACAGAGTTGTTATTTTCAAGTGACAGGCTAGGCATTCACAATAACTTCATTTTGTAGATGTAGAAGGTGAGGCTTAGAGAGGTCCGGTCACTTCCTTAATGCCATAGCCAGCAATGGAAGGAGACAAAGCACAAAACTAGACCACCTGATTTGTCACATTCTGCTGTCAACTCTTTAACTATCAGAAGCCAATCAAAGGCAGAAGGGAAAGCAAACACAGTATGGGGACTCCAAAGAATGAGTTTAGAAAAAAAAAAGAGAACCACTTGCAAAGAGAACATTAAGAAAAGCAAGTGTCTACGTGAACGACTAGGCTGAGACCTGTCTTTTGTACCATTCCTGTGGGCCCCCTGACTCCTCTCGAAGCCAAACTCCTGCCTCTCAGAGATGGCAGTCCAGTGAGGGAAGTGAGCAGATGTGCTTGAGGTGGAGCCTGGGCCCCAGGTGGTCTGCAGTCCACAGCCAGCAC